TAACCTTTATTTTACGCCACATAATTCTTGAATTAATTCATTTATAGTCCCTCTTTTCCTGCCATAGCTTATCCTTCAACATTATTGCTACTCCTTCTTTAGCTCTAACTCTATTGAAACCCCTGACCTAATCCCATTTATTCCTCTGCACTGAAATTCTCCCACCACCTTCAGCTTTGTTTCCCTTAAAGCCAGGACATCCAGCTTCTTCTCATTAATAACATCCACAATCGTCTCTTTCTTATCATTCGCACAATATCTGTGCACATTCAGACATCCCACTTTGACAATTTTCTTCTTATTCTTTTTAGTAATTATTACAGGAAAAGGGGTTACTAGCCCAGAGTATATACCAAATATGAAATATCTTAAAACGTTTGAAATTTTGGTAAGTTTCCAAACATAATGGAGAGATGCGTTGCTCACAGAGAACGTAAACAAACCGGTTGGCGCGTGTCGTATTAAAAAGACGAGGAGCCACATAGTTTTGGTCATAATTTGAAATCGCCGTATTAGCGGAACACTGTAAGGTGAAATGCTGTAAACCGGGGCCCTGCTGTCTACTCAAATATAGCTCTACTTTGTATAAGTTGACCCCTGACTTTTTGCCTACAATTCATCAATTTTTTCACATTATGCATATTGCTTATAAGTCTACCTTAGTTCTTGAAGGACAGTAGAACAACATTAGAGAATTAAAGTACTGTACTTGGTTTTGGTATTGTGTTGGAGTCACTGTATTAAGGGCAGTTGTGCTCCATGGCTTTTTCTGTGCAAAAAAAGTAAAAGATAGCATCTCCATTTGATGTTTCAGTTTATCAAAATTTTGTTTAACACCCAAATATATTGGAAAATAGTGAAATATAAAGTGAAAGCCTATCTCTGATTGAGCTTGTTAGTCACTGTATCAAGGTATGTTGTACAGCACAACAGGCTGCAAAAAAAAAAATCTCCCACTCTAATGTAACTTAAAATAAAGGACTACTTCATTAGGCTTACTGGCTTATCCTAGGCAGGTCCTAATTAAACCCACCTGCTCACTCCACTCATGCATTGGTTCAGTATGTCCTCCAAATATAATGGGCATTTTGCAACCAATACACACTGTTGATTTGTGTTCAATCTAATCCTCTGCAAAAATTTAATCTTTGTTATTTTAGGTTAAGTCATTGTAAATTGACTTTATTTAATTATAATTAACCAACAAAAGGACATGTCATAATCCCTTAGAGTGTTGCTCTCCCCATATACACAGGTGGAATTATTCCTCCTCTATAATGTCTTAAACTCTTCTGCATAAAAAGATATTAGTAAACCTCTTTAACGTACTTCAGTTTAATAGACTTCAGAAATACGGGACAAAATCTGCTAAGTCATTTGATTCAGAAATAACTAAGAAAGTCCCTTGGATACAGAATTTTCTTTTATTACAATCACGGTCCAACAACCTCATCTCTCCCCTTCTCGGCTTCTTTTACTAGCTACCTGTGCATTACAATACATTGTTCAAAAATTCTTTCTTTCTTATTAATCAGGCTTTTGTCCCAGTATTATGTAGATGTACTAAGATAATACAGCCTCTCCTCACTTAACGACAGAGTTCCGTTCCTAAGAAAACGTTCGTAAACAAATTTGTCACAAAGTGAGAAGCATACTATAATGGTATTGGGTTTGTGTCAGCCATATTTGATATTGTTTTAACCCTTTTAGGGTTGGTGCCATACTAGTACGGCTTATGCGCCAGGGCTGGTGTCGTACTAGTACGCATAAATTCTAGCATCCTCAAATCAAGCAGGAAAAGGCTGGTAGTCCTGGATGTGAGAGAATGGGTCTCCATGGTCAGTGTGCGCAGTATAAAAAAAATCGGGGATCCAGTGGTGCACTGTGGGAAAGCCATTTTATTACACCTTGTTCACCATGTCTAGCGGTAAGAAACTCCTCACTCCTCGACTAATTGGGGCTCTTTTGTTCCCAAGTGACAGTTCAAACACAGATGAAAGTGTCAGTGAAGATGAATTTCATGGTTTTGAGGAGTTTATGACTGAAAGCAATGCCTAGGAAACCAACCTGAAATAAGGAAGGAAGGTAGAAGAAAGGGAGGAAAGAAGGAATAGATGAGAGGAAGGAAGGAAGAAACGAAGAGATTAGAGGAATGAGGGATGGAAGGAAGGAAGGAGGGAAGAAAGGAAGGAGACCATCGACCTAGGATAACTCAAAAAATTCAGACAGTGATTTATTTCCATGTGGGTTGGTGGGGTGGGGAAGAAGGGATGGGTGTTGACAGGCAGTGAGGGTGGTGAGTGGTGGTGTTATTTGTCATTGTGACACTAATTAGGCTGGTGACTCAGCATATTTACAAGTCCACCCCCACACAACAACTATGAGCTTTACAGAAACTGTAGCAGTTCTAGGAAGTATCCAGTGACTTTGTGTGTATATATGTGGTAGAAAAATAGTAATAAACCACATTTTTCATTGTTGGTTTGTGTAAACATGTTTTGTAAACAATATAATGACAGCAAAGTTTGTGCTGTTATTGTGTAGAATACAATGAGTGAATATATACCAAATAGTCTTTATATTGGTCTCAGAGGCCATAAAAGTTACTTGAAAAAATAAAATATTAAAAAATAAAAGAAAAAAGTAGAAAAAAAAAAAACTATTACCGGTTGCTGGCAGTCGGCGATGTTGCCGTATGCGGTTCAATTTCTGTCAACTTCACGCCTCCATATCTCAGTAAGTATTGATGGCAAATTTTTTTTTTTTAGCCTAAAAAATTTATAAAAAAAAGCTATTTTCATAAAAAATAATTTTTTTTTTTGAATATTTACCGACCCTGAGAACAGGTTTGGGAGAGGGCCTGCCGAGCCTGAAAGGGTTAGTGTCACCTTTGAACAGTTTAAAACATTTTTAGTATATTTTTAAATGTTTATGCAGTAGTGTACTATATATTGTAATAAACAAAATAAGAGGAAACCAGCTCTTAATATACATTATTTAGGTTTGCATATTGGTCAGAGAGCCCATCATAATTCTGAGTCGTCGGTAAACGAGTACATCACTAAGTGAGGAGAGGCTGTATTAACGCTTTGACTGTTGCAACCCCAATTCTGAAACTGTCTCCCTGTGTCACTAAATATTCAGAAAAGAAAATTATTTTTTCTTACCAAAATGTTAGGATTAATTTGTTGAGTGTTTTAAACCTAAAGAATTTTTTTTGTGATCAGTACTTACCGAGATATAGAGTTGTAAATTTGGCAGAAAATGAGCCACATATGGCAACGGCAGTGAATGCTGCTCATCTGGTACACTTATATTTTTTCCCACTCAAAGGATTCTTGTATTTTCCAATTTTTTTTTTCAAAGTAACTAGTGTGGCCTGTGAGACCAAAGTATGGTGCAATGTACATATATACAATCGTATGCAACACAATAACCGCACAAACATCATCATTATATTGTTTACAAAACTATTTTACACAAACCAACAGTACAAAAAATTTTTTATTGCTATTGTTCTATAATATATATATATACAAATGTACAGTCACCGGACATGTTCCTAGAAGTTCTGCAGCTTGTGGAACTCGTTGAAACATGGTTTCATGCACAATGGTGTTTTACACTCTTCACACATAAAAGGAGTGTGTCTTCATTTTTTGTGGGCATTTTTTTGTATGTGCACGGGAAAAAACATCTCGTCTGAGCAGTTTTCTTCAAAATAGTAGCAGGCAGTTGTGTTAGGTAGTCATCCTAGGTAAATGGTCATGTGTCATCATTCCTTCCTTCCTACCTTTCCTACCTACCTTCCTTCCATCCTACATTCCTTCCTTCTTTCCTACCTACTTTCCTTTCTTCTTCTTTCCTTCCTTCCTTCTTATTTCCTTTCTTCCTTTCTTTCATCTCGTCCTTCCTTCCTTCCCTCGTTCTGGTTTCTGTAATATATGTACACATTTATAGTCTCTGGACACTTTCCTACACTGCTATTAGCTTGTGAAAAGTTAGTGTGTGTGTGTGTGTGTGTGTGTGTGTGTGTGTGTGTGTGTGTGTGTGTGTGTGGACGGACGGACGGACGGACGGACGGACGGACTGACTTGTAACTGTGCTGAGTCAGGGTGTGGCTGCTGTCAAAATGACAAATTTTTACATCACTCACTACCCTTACTGCCTGTCAACACCACCTATGGGGTCCCATGCCTTCTTCCCCACTGTCCTTCCCTTCTTCTTTCCTGCCTTCCTTTCTTCCTACCTTCCTTCCTTCCTTCTTTTCTTCTTTCATTCCTCTCATATCTTCCTTTCTTAATTCCTTACTTCCTGCCTTCCTTTCTTCCTGCCTTCCTCTCATCTCTTCCTTCCTTCCTTTTTTTCCTTTCTGCCTTCCTTCCTTCCCTCTGGTATCCTAGGCATTGCTCTCAGTCACAAACTCCTCAGAAGCATGAAATTCATCTTCAGAGATACTTCCATCTGTGTTAGAGCTATCACTTAGGAAGAGAAGAGTCTCAGATTTGCCGGGGAGTCAGATATTTCTTACCCCTAGGCATGCTGAACAGGACTACTGAAACGGCATTCCCACAATGCAACACTGGCTCCCCGATTTTTTTTATACCGCGCACATTGACCATGGAGACCCATTCTCTCACATGTGGGCCTACCAGCTTTCTCCCATTAAATTTGAAGCCACTGGGAATTTTTTGGGGATTAACCCTCGAAAACATTGGCTTTTAAAGTGTTTATTTACGGCTAAAAACAGAAAAAAAGGGTTTAAGAATATGAATAGAAATTTTTTATTTATCAAATATATTCTCCATCATGTAGTAAGGCTAAATTTTTTTCCCTTCATAAAAAATTTTAAAATTCTCAATTTGTGTAATTTCTATTGAAATGTTTTCTTGTTTCTCAAAAATTTTAAAACTTTTTTCAAATGAAAAAATCCTTTCACCTTAAGTAAGACTATATATTTTTTTTACTCCCTGTTGTTTTGGTTTTTTTTCCGGGTAAACTTTACTGTGAATGCAATGGATGTTGAAAAAATTCCCGACGGTTTTAAACGCCGCCATAGAAAAGCTGGGACCAGAGGGCCCCCAAAAATATTTTCCCAAGTATCATTTTCTGGTTCTCAAGTTTAAGTTGATGTTGGGGGTTTTTGGGTTTTTTTTTTTTTTTTTAAATATATAAAACCCTAGGGATTGCAAAAAGGGGCATGTATATTTCCCTTTATAAAAGGAAAAGGGGAAACAAAGGACTGAAAAAAATTATAGGGAAATTAAGTTTATGAGATATAAAGGAAAAAGTGTACGGTAGGGTTAAATTAAAAGGAATTAGGGGTTAAGACGGGAATGTAGGATTGAAAAATTGACCCAAGGAGGTTTCAAAAAGGGGGTAGGGAATTTGTAGTTTTCAAGGGGTTTACTTTTGAAGCATATTTTGGGAAAGTTTTTTAGTTTAAAGGTGGGGAAGTTTTTATTGCATTTATGGTTTTAAAAAAGGCCCATTTGTTTAGGTGGATAGAGGAGAAATTGTGGCAGGGGTTGCAAGTTTAGGGAATAGGTGGAAAAGTTTTTAAATGCTTTTTAAAGGTTTTTTTAAGGATAGTGGGGCCCGGGTTTGGGGTGTGTAGAAGAGAGGGAGACTATTTCCGGGAAAAAAAGGGTGGTCTTAGACGGTTTTTGGGGGGGTTTAAGGGGCCCCAGGGGGGTTTAAAAAACCCCGGGAAGGGGGGCAGGGCCCTTTTTTAAAATTTCCAAAACCCCAAAAAAAACAAAAAAAAAAAAAATTTAAAATTTTTTTCCTTTAATTAAAAAAAAAAAGAGTTTTTTTTTTTTCTAAAAATTATGGGAAAAACCAAAAAAAAAATTTACCATAAAATACTTACGGAGATTGGATGCAGGGAAGTTTGCAGAAAATGAGCCGGTATGGCAACAGCGGCGGACTGCCGTCCCCCCGGTAAAAACTTTAGTTTATTTGGGTATTTAAAGGTTTGTTTTTTTTTTTCACTATTTTATTTTTTCCCCCCAAAAATTATGGGGCCCTGTAAAACCCAAAAGTAAGGTGAAAATTGTACATTTTTCACCCCGTTGTATAAACAAAATAAGCACAAAAACTAATTATCAAATATATTGTTTACAAAAATTGTTTTAAAAAAAACAAAAAATCCCAAAACATTGTTTTTTTTATTGTTCTATAATATTTTAACCAAATTTTACGTAAATGAAATATTCCTATTGGGTTCTGGGGTTTTTGGAACTCTAAAAACGGGGTGTAAAACACAATGGGGTTTTTTCCCTTTCCCCCCCTCATTCTATTTCTTTAAAACTGTCTTTTTTTTCTATCTGTTTGTTTTTTCTCTATCTCACAGGTACAAAATAAAAAACAAGGAAAAATTCCCCAAAAATTTTAATTAAATTTTCCCTTGGATAAAAAGAAAAATTGACATGCTTCCTTTTGGTTTGAAGGGGGATTTTTGGGGAAAAAGTAAATGAAAAAAAGGGTCTTTGGGGGGGCTTCTCGGGGGGGCCCCAGAAAAAGAAAAGGGGAAGACGGATAAAAAGGGGAAAAAGCGGGAAGACAGACAAAAAAAAGGGGAAGAAGGGGGAAAGGAACCAGCCCGGGGGGCCGGGTTTTCCACCCCCCCCTTTTTCCCTTTCTTCCCCCCAAAAAACCCTTTTCCCCCTCTTTTCCTCTTCCCCCTTTTCCCCCTCCTCCCCCTTTTTCCCTTTTCCCTCCTCCCCCCCTTCTTCATCCTCTTCCCCCCCCTTTTTTATTTTTTTTTTTTTTTTTCCCCCTCCCTTTTTATTTTCCCCCAAAAATCCCTTTTTCCCCCCCCTTTCCCCCCCCCCCCCTTTTCCCCCCATTTCCTCTTTCCCCTGGGCATGGGTTAAAAAAGGGAAGTCGGAAAAGGCCTGGGGTAAAAGTTACATATTGGTTCATTACTCTTTCCCCGGGGGCCCCTGTCAAAACAATGGGGTCGGGATGCTCCCTTCCCCTCCTCCTTCCAAATCTAATTATCTTTCTCCCTCATTTTTTATCTGTCTATTCTCTGTCTCACGGGTACAAAAAAATAAAGTTTTACATAGTATAAAATTACCTAGGAAAACCCCAAAAAAAAACCCGGGAAAAAGGTTTGCTATCTTGTTTTAAAAGAGTGGGGGGTAAAAAAGTGTTTGGACGCAGCCTTTTGTGGCCTCTTCTGGGGCCCAGGGGAAGCTAGATGGATGGGACAAAGGGGAGCTTGACGGACAGGAAAATTAGACAGACAGAAAATGTTGGGTTATCCCAGCAAAAAACAAAGGGAGGGGCGAGGGGGGGTTCCCCAATTTCTTTTTGTAAACCCGGTTTTTCCCTCTTTTTCCTCATCAAACGTCACCACTTTTTTCCGATGTTATCTCCCCTTATCTTTTTTACTGTCATGGGTAAACCCATTTATTATTACTTTTTTATTATTATTACCTTTATTTTTATTATGTTTTTTTATTATTATGTATTATTATTTTTGTATTATTTTTTTTTATGTATTTTTAATTATGTATTATTGTTTCATTAGTATTTTTTTCTTCCTCCTCCCCCTTTCCTCCTCCTCCTTCTTTTCCTCTCCTCCTCTTCTTATTTTTCCCTCCTCTCCTCCCCCCTTCATTCCCCCCCCTCCTCCTCCTCCTCTTCTTCCCCCTCCCCCCTCCCCCTCCTCCTCTTCTTTTTTTTCCCCCTTTCCCTCCTCCTCCCCCTCCTCCTACCCCCTGCCCCCTTTCCTCCTCTTGCCCCCTTTCCCCCCTTTTTGCCTCCTCCTCCCCCGGCCCCCCCCTCCTCCTCCATTTTTGGGGAAACAAGTTTGAAAAAACTTGTAGTTCATAATAAACTATCACTATCTCAAAAATGCTACTCTGGTCTGGGATTTTGGAAAATGGGAGTTTCCTCTTTGATTCGGGTTTAAAAACTGAAGGGGCGGCCCCAGCACCGAGGGGGAAAAGGCTGTGGGTTGTGGGGGGTTTTTCCTACTATTACCCATATTATGGTCATTAGTTTCGGTAAAAACCCTCCCCCGAATTTTGTTGAAAATCACTTCACTTTTCATTTCCCATTTTGTTTTAAAAAAACTGTAACGGGAAAAAAAAAAGGGTGCCCCAATTCGCCCAGGAGTGAGGAACTTCTTACCGCGGGCACGGGGGAAAAATTGTGTCTTGATGGCTTTTCCCAAAATGCACCACTGGGCCCCAAAGATTTTTTTCCTACTGCGCACACCCACCCCCACAGCCCCCCATTCTCTCACATCTAGGCTTATAAGCCTTTTCCTGCGAGATTTGGGGCCGGGCTAAAATTTTATCCCGTACTAGAAAGTAAAAAAACCCTGGCGAAAAGATTAACTAGTCGACCAAAACCCCCCAAAGGGGGTTAAAATATATTTTAGTTGGGGTTTTTAAAAGAAGAAAAATCCCTAGGTTGTTTGGGAGAGAGGGGGGTTTAAAATTTTGGGGTTTTTTAAATTCAAAAGGGGAAATTTTGACACAGTTACTTTTTGCTGATGATTCTGTGTTAGGGGAGATTCTAAGAAAAATTGAAAAGGGGTTATTTGGATGAGTTTGGAATGTGTGTAAAAGGGGAAAAGGGTTTAAAGTGGGCATAGAAAAGGGGTAAGGTGATGGGGGGTTTCAAATGTTTTTGAAAAGAAAAAAAGGATATCAAATTGGGGAGGGGGTATGGAAGAAAATTAATTTTTTCAGTACTTTGGGGGTTGACGTGTCGGGGGGATGGATTTTTGAAGGATTTAGGTTTAATCATAGATTGATGAGGGGAAAAAGGGGTGAGTGGTTGCGTTGAGGTATATGTGGAGGGCCCAAAAAAAGTTTTTTCTATGGAGGCCAAAAGAAAGGGGGGTATGAAAGTATAGTAGTACCCAAAACTCTTTTTCATGGAAAGTGAAGGGTTTTGGGGGGGGAAATGCAGCCCGCGGGGGAGACCCGGGTTTGGGGGCAAAATGGGATTTCCTGTCTAAGGGCCAAAGTTTTTGGGGTAAATATTATGCAAAAAAATTCCCCGGGGGTGTGGGAAAATTGGGGAAGGTGTGGGGTTAATAAAAAAAATTAGTCAGAGGGCAGAAAAAAGGGGGTTTTTGAGGTGGGTTTTGGGCTTTTAGAGAAATGGATCAAAGTAGAAAGACATGGAAAAATAATAAATAAATCTATAGGGGGAAAGGGAAAAAGGGGTAGGGGGTCGTCCTCGAAAGGGTTGGAGAGAGGGGGAAATGAGGTTTTGTAGGGGAAGGGGGTTGGCCCTTTTAGCAAGCATGGGGAGCATGTTTGATAGGAGTGAATGGAGACAATGGTACTTGGGAATTTACGATCTGTTTGGGGGGTGAGCAGGGTAATATTTAGTGAAGGGATCGGGAAAACCCGGTTTTTTTTCATATTTGTCGGATTTTGGGCCTGGAAAATGGGAAGTTTCAATGCCGCACTTTAAAGGGGGGTTTGGGAAAATTGGCGTTTGGAGGGGTATGTTATGTATCTTTATTTCATTATTTCTTTAAAACTGTTTTTATTCTGAGGGACCTCTGCAAAAGCAGTGATTGTGGGGGAAATGTGGTGGAAAAGTGTTTTAAAGATGATGGAAAAAATATTTTTTTTTTTGGGGGGTTTTTTTTTTTTTGGGGGCACCCCGCCCCGGTGGGGGACGACCAACTTGTTGAAAAAAAAAAAAAAAAAAAAATATTTTATTATTTTATGAAGTTTAAAAGGGGGTGATAAAAGAAAAAAGGTTTGCTTACGAGAGGGGTTTTTTCAAAGCAGAAGTGTTATAAGAAGAGAGGTATATGGGGGAGTAAAAGAAAAGGGGAAGGAGGGGGGGAGGGGAGTGCAAAAGGAGAGAAGATGAAGAGTGGGGGGAGGCACTGGGCCCAAAAAATTTTAATGAAAAATAAGAAAAAATTTTGGAGTGGGGTTTAAAAAGTTAAGAAAAGGGCCCAGGGGGAAAATATGGATTTGGTGTTAAAAAACAGAAATAGGGGGTTAGTAGAGGGGGGAGGGGGTATTAGGTAGATGGCGAGAAATATTTTCAGGAAATTTTTAAATGTTAAGGAAGAAAGGGAGGTGGTAATTTCATGCACTGGGGAAAGGGGGGTTTTTACCTTTTTTTAGGAGTGAAGGGAAAAGCGAATTTTAAGTGGGGTGGAGGGGAGTGAGGCATTACGTAGAATGAAAGGGGGGTAAAAACAGCTGGAATGATGGGATCATGACAGAAATGTTAAAAGCAGGGGGGGGTATAGTGTTGAGGGTTGGTACTTTTAAATTTTAAAACATGTATGAAAAGAGGGGAAAGGTACCCGGGATTGGGGGAGAGCATGTTTTGTCCCTTTATATTTTAAAAAGGGGGGGGCAAAGGAATGTAAAAAATTTTGGGGGGAATAAGTTTACTGAGTATTCCAGGAAAAGTATCCCCGGGGTTGGGGTTTTAATTGAAAGAATTAAGGTTTAAAACCCCCAAAGTAGGATTTCGGAAGAGCAGGGGGGGGCTTCAGAGTTTGGGGAGGGGGTTTTTAGATCAAGTGTTTACATTGAAGGGTTTAAGTGAAAAAGTATTTTGATAAAAAGGGAGGGAAGTTTTTATTGCATTTATGGATTTAGAAAAAAAATTGATTTGAGGGATAGAGGGGCAATTTTGGCAGGTTTTTGCAAGTATATGGGGAAAAGGTTTGGGAAGCTACTAAATGCTGTTTAAAAAGCTTTTATGAGGATAGTGAGGGGTCAGGGGTTGGGGGTGTAGGGAAAAGAGGGGGGAATACTTCCCGGTTTAAAAATAGGTCTTTGACAGGGATGTGTAATTTTTCACCTGGTTTTTTTAATATATTTATTGATGGGGGTTTTTAAAAGAAGTAAAGCTAGGGGTTGTTTGGGGGAGAGGGGGGGGATTAAATTTGGGTCACCCGCCCCCGGGGGGAGGCCCGGCCCACTTGTTGAAAAAAAAAAAAAAAAAAAAATTTTATAATTTTAAAAGTAAAAGGTTTTTTGGACAAGGGGCTTGGACTTCCCGCAAGGTGCGTGAGGTGTTAGATAGGAGTGAATGGAGACGAATGGTTTTCTTGGGATCTGATGATTTTGTTGGGTGTGAGCAGGGTTTAAAATTTAGTGAAGGGAAATTTAGGGAAAAAAGGGTTTTTTTCATAAGTCGGTTTGGGGCCTGGGAAAAGGGAAATACAATGCCTGCCTTTTAAAAGGGGGGGTTTTTGGATATTGGCAGTTTGGAGGGTATGTTTTTATCTTTATATTTATTTTTGCTTCAAAAAATGTTGTTTTTGGCACCCCTGCAAAAGCCCTGAAATGTGTGAGTTTTTTTGAAAGTGTTGAATGATTTAAAAATATTTTTTTTTGGGGGTTTTTTTTTTTTTTTTGGGTCACCCCGCCTCGGTGGGAGACCCCCGGCCGACTTGGGTTTAAAAAAAAAAAAAGTATAATGATGTATATATATGTATATGTTTGTTTGTATGTAATCTTTTTTTTCTTTCAACACCCCGGGGCCCATCCCCCCCGAGGCGAGGTGGCAAAAAAAGGAAAAAACGAAAAATTTCTCCTTTTCAAATTTTGTAATAATTTCAGGAGAAGAGGTTACTAGCCCCCTTCTCCCCGCATTTTTTGTCGTTCTTTTTCAACACTCATAGCTTAGGAGGAAGGGAAAACTGTTCCCTTCCCCCATAGAGATTAAAAAGGAAAATAAACAAAAAAACAAGAACTAGAAAGAAAATAGAAAAAAAACCAGAGGGGGGTGTATTTTTAATTTTGCTTGCCACATTTTTTGTGTAGGGGTTTACCCCAAAGGGGGTAAGGTTAGAAAATTTTGCAAGACGTCCTGAAATCTTGCTTTTTTCATGAGGAAAAGGAAAAAAAAGGGCACCCGCAATCTATAGGGAAAAAAAACCCAAATTCGGGCTTTCGTTTTGGGACTCACTTGGCCCGGGGCGGTAGTACCTCCCCGGGGGGTTGCTGTCTGCCAACCCACCACCCAGATATATTTCAGTTGACTTTCCCCTTTTCTTTATTAATTTTCCATTCCAGAGAGCCTGCCGAAAGTCCCAAATTCCCCAAACTCAAAAAACCCTTTTTTCCCCCTAAGAAATAATGGAAAAAACATTAATTTCCCTTTTCCCGTTTTCCCCAAAAAATATTAAAATAAAAATTTTTTTTTTCAAATTAAAAAAAAAGATTTACAATTTTGAAAAATCAGAAAAACCAGTAAATGCATATAAAAAAAAAATAATAAAAAATTACACTTTCCCTTTACTGAAAATTTCTGGGTAGATAGGGAAAATGCGAGGATGGGTAGGAGGAAGGTTTTTTCACTATTTTTGGAAGGGGGAATCTCTTTCCATTAGGACTTTAGGTTGCAAGTCCTTTTTTGGGGTTACTTCCTTTTCTTTTAAAAGCCATGGGAACCCAAATTGAGTCACCGGGACCCCCGTCACCCCAAAATATCTGTCCAGAGAGGTTGTTTTTTGGCCCTTTCTTTATGATTTGCCTGAAGTGGGACAAGGTTTTGTCGCTGAACTGTTTTCAGATATGGCTTTTTTTCAGCTTGGGCAGGGGGATAATTTTTAAAAAAAATTTGCAACTCATTCCCCTTTGGAACAATTTTCCTTAAACCCCCCCAAAAAGGCACCTCCCTTTACTCTTTTTCCTCCTCCTTTTGAAGAAGTTTTTCAGCTTTTGGTCTGATGCTGTTCCAGTGGGAAACTCTTGGGAGTTCCCTCAGGGGGTTAGCTCTTCCCCGTGGTCCTCCGCCAACTTTCCAAATCCCTGTCACTCACCTCCCCAATTTTGTTTTTTTCCCTTTTTGGGGCCCCCCACCCAGGGGATTTCGGCTGGGGTGTTGAAAGAAAAAAAAAAGAAGATATTATATATTAGGTAGGGAGGGGTTTTTAGACGCAAAACCCCCAGGGGGGTACGTCCTGCCAAAAAAAGTGTTAAAAAGGAAACCTGTAATTTTTTTTTCATGTTTGGGTTTATTGCTGGTGTCTTTTTTCTTTTTCCATAAACGCAAAGATTTCAGGTACATCTTTTCTACTTTTTAATTACACTTACGGGCACCCCTGCACATACATGTACAAGCATAATATGCACACCCCCCCTTTGGGTTTTTTTTTATTTTCTTTTAGTTCTTGTTCTTGTTTATTTCCTTTTTATTTTCCCTGGGGGAAATGGAAAAAGAATTCTTTTCCCCGTAAGCCCATGTGTTGTAAGAAAACGATAAATGCCGGGAAACAAGGGGCTTGTAACCCCCTTTTCCTGAAAATTGCTAAATTTAAAAAGAGAAACTTTTGTTTTTTTTTTTTTGGGCCACCCCAAAATCTCTGGCGATACGGCCGGTTTGTTGAAAAAAAACGATTTTTTATATAGGGAGTAAATTGGTAGACAGCAGCCCCCCCAGGGAGGTTTTACCGTGTGCCAAGTGAGTGTAAAGTGAAAAACCTGTAATTTTTTTACTGTTTGGGAGGATTGCTTTGGGGTTTTTCTGTCTCTAAAATTTCAAAATTACAGGGCCCCTCTTGCTACAAATTTTTTCACTTAGGTCCCCACTATACATACATGTACAAGCATATTTTACACACCCTTCTGGGCTTTCTTTTTATTTTCTTTCTAGTTCTTGTTTTTGTTTATTTCCTCTTATCTCCATGGGGAACTGGAACAGAATTCTTCCTCTGTAAGCCATGCGTGTTGTAAGAGGCGACTAAAATGCCAGGAGCAAGGGGTAGTAACCCCTTCTCCTGTTAAAAAATTTCTAAATTTAAAAAAAGGGAAAACTTTTCTTTTTCTTTTTGAGCCACCCTGCCTTGGTGGGATACGGCCGGTTTGTTAAAAAAAAAAAAAAATAACTGAAGTAAGACATGAGAAGCAGGGGTGGGTCGATTGCACTTTCTTGGACTACAGAAAGGTCTTCGACACAGTTCCTCACAAGAGATTAGTGCAGAAGCTAGAGGATCAGGCACGTATAACAGGAAGGGCACTGCAATGGATCAGAGAATACCTGACTGGGAGGCAGCAACGAGTCACTGTACGTGATGAGGTATCACAGTGGGTGCCTGTAACGAGCAGGGTCCCACAGGGGTCAGTCCTGAGATCAGTGCTATTCTTGGTAGATGCGAATGACATGACTGAAGGGATAGACTCAGAGGTGTCCTTATTTGCAGATGATGTGAAGTAAATGAGGAGAATTAAATCAGATGCAGACCAGACAGGTCTACAAGGAGACCTGGACAGGCTGGACGTGTGGTCCAGCAACTGGCTTCTAGAATTTTACCCTGCCAAATGCAGTCATGAAGATTGAGGAAGGGCAAAGAAGGCTGCAGACAGAGTATAGGCTAGGCGGCCAAAGACTGCAAACCTCACTCAAGTAGAAAGATCTGAGGGCGAGTATAACTCCAAGCACGTCGCCAAAAGCCCACATTAACCAAGTAACTGCTGCGGCATATGGGCGCATCATTCAAGGAATGATGCGCCCATTCAAGGAATGATGCATCATTCAAGGAATCATTCAAGACTATATACCGTGTATGTCAGGCCCATACTGGAGTACACAGCACCAGTTTGGAACCCACACCTGGTCAGGCATGTCAAGAAATTAGAGGAAGTGCAAAGGTTTGCAACAGGGCTGATTCCAGAGCTAAGGGGAATGCCCTACGTAGAAAGGTTAAGGGAATTCAGTCTGATGACACTGGAGGACAGGAGGGTCAGGGGTGACATGATAACGACGTACAGAATACTGCATGGAATAGATGAGGTGGACAGAGACAGGATGTTCCAGAGATGGGACACAGAAACAAGGGGTCACAATTGGAAGTTGAAGCCTCAGATGAGCCAAATGGATGTTAGGAAGTATTTCTTCAGTCACAGAATTATTAGGAAGTGGAGTAGTCTGGCAAGTAATGTAGTGGAGGCAGGAACCATACATAGTTTTAAGACGAGGTATGATAAAGCTCATGGAACAGGGAGAGGGAGGACCCAGTAGCGGTCAGTGAAGAGGTGGGGCCAGGAGCTGAGTTTTGATCCCTGCAACCTCAATTAGGTGAGTGCATACAAAATTTGGAACTGCTGTATCATATTTGTGGTGAGTCAAGTTGCATTTCTTTTAAATTATTGCTGACCAGGTGGTTCTGAATGGTAACAAATGTAGTAGAACACTCATATCAGAGTAAAAATATATTTGGCCATTCTGAGCAGAATCGTTAAGCTTAAGGTGGTTGTGAGTGCTAGGAGCTCGAGCATACAACAGGCTGGTGTAAGAGTGTTAAATTGGAGTGATTAGAGACAAGTGTTTTTAGGGCTTGGAAATGCTGTTGGAGTGTGAAGAAGATAACATTCACAAAAGAATTCAGAGCAACCAGGTAGCTGAACTTCAGTCATGTAAATGAGAAGTACAGTGCCTGTATTCAGAGGAAGAACTAAAGATGTTGCAGTTTAGAGTCACTTAAATTGTGATATCTGCACATGTCCAGCAAGACAGCAATTGAATGAATGAAAGGCAGTGCATTTACTTTTTTGTTTTTGAGGGGGAGAGAAGTCACCCTACCTCATTGGAAGACAGTTGGTGTGTTGAAATTTTTTTTTGTTTACTGTTCTTTGCATTTTTACAGGTGTCTACTCCGAGTGCAGATACTGCTGAACGTAACATTATGTCCATGTTAAGTGTTAGCACCGAGAGTATTGATCGTGTTGGACGTCGGGAGAATTTTCTCAAAACCAATTATGAATCCTTAGAAGGAGAAGCGTCTAGACCTGAAAAAGAAATAAAAAATAAGAACAGGTAGGGATCCTGTCAGTAACATCGTTGCCAAAACAGTTGAATGGTTGACTGTTTGATTGGCTATTTTTTTGTGTGTATTCATTCTTGCCTCACCTTCTCTAATGTTAATTTTTTAACACACGCACACGCGCACGCACACACACACGTGCGCACACACACGTGCACGCACACACACACGTGCACGCACACACACTCTCTCTCTCTCTCTCTCCCCTCTCTCTCTCTCTCTCTCTCTCTCTCTCTCTGTCTCTCTCTCTCTCTCTCACTCTGACTCTGACTCTCACTCACTCACTCACTCACTCTCACTCTCTCTCCACACTCACACTCTCTCTCTCACACTCACACTCTCACACTCACACTCTCACACTCACACTCTCTCTCTCACACTCACACTCTCTCTCTCACACTCACACTCTCTCTCTCACAAAACTCTCTCTCTCACACTCACACACTCTCTCCCCACTCTCTCTCTCACACTCTCTTTTCACCCCTCACACTCTCTCTCTCACACTCTCTCTCTCACACTCTCTCTCTCTCTCTCTCTCTCTCTCTCTCTCTCTCTCTCTCTCTCTCTCTTTCTCTCTCTCTCTCTCTCTTTCTCTCTCTTTCTCTCTTTCTCTCTTTCTCTCTCTCTCTTTCTCTTTCTCTCTTTCTCTCTTTCTCTCTTTCTCTCTTTCTCTCTTTCTCTCTTTCTCTCTTTCTCTCTTTCTCTCTTTCTCTCTTTCTCTCTTTCTCTCCCTTTTTCTCTTTCTCTCTTTCTCTCTCCCCTCTTCTCTCTTTCTCTCTCTCTCTCTCTCTCTCTCTCTCTCTTTTCTCTCTATATATTATTATATATATACTATATATTTATATATCTTATTTATATATATTATTATATTATATATATATATATATTATATATATATATATATATATTTTTTTTTTTTTTTTTTTTTTTTTTTTTTCAACAAGTCGGTCGTCTCCCACCGAGGCAGGGTGACCCAAAAAAAGAAGAAGAAATCCCCAAAAAGAAAATACTTTCATCATCATTCAACACTTTCACCACACACACACATTATCACTGCTTTTGCAGAGGTGCTCAGAATACAACAGTTTAGAAGCATATACGTATAGAGATACACAACAATCCCTCCAAACTGCCAATACCCCAACCCCTCCTTTAAAGTGCAGGCATTGTACTTCCCATTTCCAGGACTCAAGTCCGACTATAAGAAAATAACCGGTGAAAATTTTTCTTTTTCGGGGCACCCTGCCTTGGTGGGAAATGGGAAGTACAATGCCTGCACTTTAAAGGAGGGGTTTGGGATATTGGCAGTTTGGAGGGATATGTTGTGTATCTTTATATGTGTATGCTTCTAGACTGTTGTATTCTGAGCACCTCTGCAAAAACAGTGATAATGTGCGAGTGTGGTGAAAGTGTTGAATGATGATGAAAGTATTTTCTTTTTGGGGATTTTCTTTATTTTTTGGGTCACCCTGCCTGGATGGGAGACGGCCGACTTGTTGAAAAAAAAAATATATATATATAATATATATATACACATACATGTACATGTTTATTTATACACACTCATCTGAGTTTTCTTTGATTTTATCTTAATAGTTCTTGGTCTTATTACTTTTCCTTTTATATCCATGGGGAAGTGGAATAAGAATCTTTCCTCCGTAAGCCATGTGTGTTGTAAAAGTCAACTAAAATGCCGGGAACAATGGGCTAGTAACCCCTTTTCCTGTAAAGATTACTAAAAAGAATAAGAAGAAAATTGTCAAAGTGGGAAGTCTGAATGTGCGTGGATGTTGTGCAAATGATAAGAAAGAGATGATTGTGGATGTTATGAATGAGAAGAAACTGGATGTGCTGGCATTAAGTGAAACAAAGCTGAAGGGGGTGGGAGAGTTTCAATGGAGAGGAATAAATGGGATTAGGTCAGGGGTTTCAAATAGAGTTAGAGCTAAAGAAGGAGTAGCAATAATGTTGAAGGATAAGCTATGGCAGGAAAAGAGGGACTACAAATGCATAAATTCAAGGATTATGTGGAGTAAAATAAAGATTGGATGTGAAAAGTGGGTTATAGTAAGCGTATATGCACCTGGAGAAGAGAGAAGTGTAGAGGAGAGAGAGAGATTCTGGGAAATGTTGAGTGAATGCGTGGGTAGTTTTGAATCAAGTGTGAGAGTAATGGTGGTTGGGGATTTCAATGCTAAAGTGGGTAAAAATGTTATGGAGGGAGTAGTAGGGGTAAATTTGGGGTGCCAGGGGTAAATGTAAATGGGGAGCCTTTAATTGAGCTATGTGTAGAAAGAAATTTGGTAATAAGTAATACATATTTTATGAAAAAGAGGATAAATAAATATACAAGGTATGATGTAGCACGTAATGAAAGTAGTTTGTTAGATTATGTATTGGTGGATAAAAGGTTGATGGGTAGGCTCCAGGATGTACATGTTTATAGAGGGGCAACTATATATCAGATCATTATTTAGTTGTAGCTACAGTTAGAGTAAGAGGTAGATGGGAAAAAGAGGAAGGTGGCAACAACAAGTAAGAGGGAGGTGAAAGTGTATAAACTAAGGGAGGGAGGAAGTTCGGGCCAGATATAAGCGACTATTGGCAGAAAGGTGGGCTAGTGCAAAGATGAGTAGTGGGGGGGTTGAAGAGGGTTGGAATAGTTTTAAAAATGCAGTATTAGAATGTGGGGCAGAAGTTTGTGGTTATAGGAGGGTGGGGGCAGGAGGAAAGAGGAGTGATTGGTGGAATGATGAAGTAAAGGGTGTGATAAAAGAGAAAAAGGTAGCTTACGAGAGGTTTTTACAAAGCAGAACTGTATAGTCCCTTTATATGAAGGGAAAGGGGACAAAAGAGATTGTAAAAATTATAGAGGAATAAGTGTACTGAGTATACCAGGAAAAGTATACGGTAGAGTTATAATTGAAAGAATTAGAGGTAAGACAGAATGTAGAATTGCGGATGAGCAAGGAGGCTTCAGAGTGGGTAGGGGATGTGTAGATCAAGTGTTTACATTGAAGCATATATGTGAACAGTATTTAGATAAAGGTAGGGAAGTTTTTATTGCATTTATGGATTTAGAAAAGGCATATGATAGTGGATAGAGGAGCAATGTGGCAGATGTTGCAAGTTTATGGAATAGGTGGTAAGTTACTAAATGCTGTAAAGAGCTTTTATGAGGATAGTGAGGCTCAGGTTAGGGTGTGTAGAAGAGAGGGAGAATACTTCCTGGTAAAAGTAGGTCTTAGACAGGGATGTGTAATGTCACCATGGTTGTTTAATATATTTATAGATGGGGTTGAAAAAGAAGTAAATGCTAGGGTGTTCGGGAGAGGGGTGGGATTAAATTATGGGGAATCAAATTCAAAATGGGAATTGACAGTTACTTTTTGCTGATGATACTGTGCTTATGGGAGATTCTAAAGAAAAATTGCAAAGGTTAGTGGATGAGTTTGAGAATGTGTGTAAAGGTAGAAAGTTGAAAGTGAACATAGAAAAGAGTAAGGTGATGAGGGTATCAAATGATTTAGATAAAGAAAAATTGGATATCAAATTGGGGAGGAGGAGTATGGAAGAAGTGAATGTTTTCAGATACTTGGGAGTTGACGTGTCGGCGGATGGATTTATGAAGGATGAGGTTAATCATAGAATTGATGAGGGAAAAAAGGTGAGTGGTGCGTTGAGGTATATGTGGAGTCAAAAAACGTTATCTATGGAGGCAAAGAAGGGAATGTATGAAAGTGTAGTAGTACCAACACTCTTATGTGGATGTGAAGCTTGGGTGGTAAATGCAGCAGCGAGGAGACGGTTGGAGGCAGTGGAGATGTCCTGTCTAAGGGCAATGTATGGTGTAAATATTATGCAGAAAATTCGGAGTGTGGAAATTAGGAGAAGGTGTGGAGTTAATAAAAGTATTAGTCAGAGGGCAGAAGAGGGGTTGTTGAGGTGGTTTGGTCATTTAGAGAGAATGGATCAAAGTAGAATGACATGGAAAGCATATAAATCTATAGGGAAAGGAAGGAGGGGTAGGGGTCGTCCTCGAAAGGGTTGGAAAGAGGGGGTAAAGGAGGTTTTGTGGGTGAGGGGCTTGGACTTCCAGCAAGCGTGCATGAGCGTGTTAGATAGGAGTGAATGGAGACAAATGATACTTGGGACCTGACGATCTGTTGGAGTGTGAGCAGGGTAATATTTAGTGAAGGGATTCAGGGAAACCGGTTATTTTCATATAGTCGGACTTGAGTCCTGGAAATGGGAAGTACAGTGCCTGCACTTTAAAGGAGGGGTTTGGGATATTGGCAGTTTGGAGGGATATGTTGTGTATCTCTATATGTATATTCTTCTAAACTGTTGTATTCTGAGCACCTCTGCAAAAGCAGTGATAATGTGTGAGTGTGGTGAAAGTGTTGAATGATGATGAAAGCATTTTTTGGAGGGGGATTTTCTTTCTTTTTTGGGTCACCCTGCCTCGGTGGGAGACGGCCAACTTGTTGAAAAAAATATATATATATATGTGTATATATATTTCTCTTTATTTTTTTTTTTTTTTTTTTTTTAATAATTTTTTTTGCCTATATCTATATATCTCTCTATATTTCTCTCTCTATATATATATATATGTATATTTCTCTCTCTATATATATATATATATGTATATTTCTCTCTCTCTATATATATATATTTCTCTATATATGTATATTTATATATATATATATATTTCTATATGTATATATTTCTTTCTATTTCTCTCTCTCTCTCTATATTTCTTTCTGTATCTTTCTCTCTATATTTCTCTCTGTCTATATTTCTCTCTATATATTTCTCTCTATATTTCTCTCTATATTTCTCTCTCTTTATTTCTCTCTCTCTATATTTCTCTCTCTCTATATTTATCTCTATATTTCTCTCTCTATATTTCTCTGTTTATATATTTCTCTCTCTATATATTTCTGTCTCTCTCTCTCTTTAATGCTGTACTGTATTTTTTTTTTTTTCAACAAGTTGGTCGTCTCCCACCAAGGCAGGGTGACCCAAAAAAGAAAGAAAATCCCCAAAAAGAAAATACTTTCATCATCATTCAACACTTTCACCACACTCACACATTCTCACTGCTTTTGCAGAGGTGCTCAGAATACAACAGTTTAGAAGCATATACGTTGTATTCTGAGCACCTCTGCAAAAGCAGTGATAATGTGTGAGTGTGGTGAAAGTGTTGAATGATGATGAAAGTATTTTCTTTTTGGGGATTTTTTTTTCTTTTCTGTACTGTATATACACACTAATTCATAAGTTCATGAAATATGACTAAATCTCAAATTTTGGTTTAAAATTTTCCACTTCTCCCCACACTATATAGTTTTTGTCAGCAACTTACTGTAATATTCTTGTGATGCCTTATTCTTGTGTGCACAGTAATGTCTTAAAGTGACATATCTTAATAAAGTTTCCATTCTGACACACTGGCCATTAAATCTGAATATTTTTTCAAATAAGAGAGGTATCCAGTTCCTTTTGAGTATTCAGAAGTTTCATAATGTTGGACATCTCTGTACATGCATTATTTTGAATAAGAGATGTGTTACTGTAGAATACAGCATTATGTATAATCCTTTTATGAGGTATATAAGTACATAGTTTTATGAATATTGTACGTGATCCACATGTTTTCTGGGCAAGGTTTGGATAATTAGTAAAATACTGTTAGGCTTAGTTACTTGTTTTAGTTACTTACTATTGAAAGAGATAATATAGCAATACAGTATTTTTTCTTTGCAGCATATCCTATAAATTTAATTCAAGAAATAAAGACACTCAAGTCTCCAATAAAAGAGAAGAACTTTTGAGGAGGATTGAAGAAACAAGAAAGAAACTGCAAAGTGTAAGTTTGACAGCAAATATTTATAGTACTGTACAGTAGGCATTATAAATGTGCACATGCATAGGTATGCTTGTAGCAGACTATTTGCCTGGCAGCTTCAAGATGTGCTAGAGCAACTCATGAATATGGTACCCCTTATCATACCACCATCAAGGACATAAAAGATTGGCTAAATAAATGAATCCCATACTGTAAAGTCTAGCCTGGTAACTCGCCTAACTTAAATTCAATAAAGAACGTTTGGAACCTTATTAATCTTAACTTTAGTGGCATGGATGTGTCCTTCAACCTCAAACTCGTTAGTGCCATTAAGTAAGTGTGGGAGGAAATTGATTCTTCAATCCTGCATAGGTTAGCCTTATCAGTGCCTAGGAAACTAGAGGAGTGTATCAAGAGGATGGTTAATTGTATGAAGTAATAGCTTAGGTAGTAACCCTTTCTCCTGTATACATTACTAATTTGAAAAAGAGAAACTTTTGTTTCTTTTTAGGTCACCCTGCCTTGGTGGGATTTGGCTGGTTTATTGAAAAAAAAAAGTTTAGGTGAGGAACCCATAAATATTTCTGTGTTTAGTTTTTAAAACAATAGTTTACGGTGAGTGTTCTCGTTATCTGTTTGATCTGCTTTTGGACAGGTATATTTATGATGCCCACTGTATGTCAATGAATTATATAATGCAATTAATGTATCTATAATGCATGCCTTTGAATCATATGTGAATATATGTAACACATTTATTTTTAATTTGCTTTCTTTCGCCAGATCGGATATAAATCCAATCTAAGAAATAGCAAGAGCATCTCAGACCTTAGCAACATTCCAGAGAAAGATACATCTTACATGTCTGGGAACCAAGGTAACCACCATCAGTGTGATGATATCCCCTTCCATCATCCTGTCCTCACTGCATCTCACATTCCTCTCACAGGCACAAGCAATTTTCCTGAATTGCTCACAAGCAGTATTCCAAAACCTGTGCCTGGTATTGTGGGTAGTATTCCTGAATTAGTATCAGGCTGTCTGCCCCAGTATGCTACTGGCAGTATACCTGAGTTAGGGTCCAGTTGCCTTTCAGAGTTGGGAAGTATTGGTGCAGATAGCAAAGTTGACAGTTTAGGAAAAATTGGTGTTGCAGTTTTTGATGGGAGTGCTGTGCCAAGAGATCAGCAGAGAACAGGTAAGCAACTACTAGCACAGCTAGAAAGAGACTTACAGGAGTTTGACCTTTTGATGGGATGCCCACCATCACCACCTGAAGTTGACACAGATTCATTGGAGGAAACTCTCCGAAGTTTGGCTCTATTGAGTTCTCAGAACCTCTTTCTAAGCAGGTTCATCAAAATCGTCACAGAACTGATGAAGACTCAGACAGTGATACTGTAAAGAGTGAAACATCAAATTTTAGTTGTGATAGTTTAGAGGATGGAGAAAATGACGATGAAGAGGATGAAACAGCAGCTGAGCCAGAGGCTGTGGACATCCCTCGCCACTGTGTATTTGAAGTACCTAGAACTTTGCCACGCCGTAAAAGGCAGAGATGGCAGAGACTCTCCCTTGAAGGTGTAACAAGGAACCGACCAAATGATTATGAGTCAGATGTTTTTCCCACTAATGAAATGCCAACTGCTTCTCATTCCCAAGTATTTCGAACAGCATCTGATACAGCACTGGCAAATAGTGACAGTAACCATTCAGATGTACAGACACCCACTAATCCCCCATATTTTTCTGTAAAATCCCCTGGGCACACAACTAGTTCTAGATGTGTGGCAGTTTCTGTCACTACACGTGGAATTGCATCCCAGCCCAAGGAGAGCTTAATTATTCAAGGCAGTGAAAGTAATAACACTGTTTCCACACATAATGTAGAAGCACATTCCTATAGGCTTGAGCGTTCAACCCCTGTGACTTTTTCAATACCTCAGTCCCCTGTGGTAGAACAGCTAAGAAGACAAGGCCGGGAATTATCACCAAGGAGACAACCTCACAAAAACCGGGTAATTCTTCCCCCTGCCAGTTTAGTTGATGCTGAGGACTTTCCTGTGGTGCAAGCTCAGCCCCTTCCTCCAGGGCCTCCTCCAGCTGTATATCTGCCTTCTTCACAGCCTACACTCCCTCCAGGAGTTATTGCTGCTCCAGGTAGAGCCCACCGGGTTCTCCTAGCAAAGAAGGTCACCATACACCAAGTACTTCCCTCCAAACGTAAGGGTTGGATATCTTGTTTCGCCTGGCTGCTCTCATGGCATGAGGAATGACACTTCAGGTTCACAAACTCCTGTCATTTTTTTTACCTTTATCATTTTTGTCTTCACCTCTTTATTTTTTCAGGAAACATTTTTTATTTTTAGTAACTACTAATTAATTACATTTGCATGATACCAAAACTACTATGAAAAGTTGTTCAATGCTTTTATGCAGTGTATTATAATTTTCTTATTTTAATCAACCATTTGTTTGCCAGTCAGAGAGCTTGAATGTTTAGATTCATTATTTTGAGCTCTGTGGATGGTCAGTTATAGTTAAATTTACTTGATTTGAAAATTTTGTTTGATTATGATTGAAGCATGGAAGAAGCCAGCATGAAAATATATTTTTGTGACCAGTGCAGTAGTTAATGTTACAATAATAATGTGTAATGTTTGCATTTTCAGCTATGTTGTACATTGCACCAGCTTTTGTTTTTGCATGTGTGTTTTGTTATTGTTTGCATACAGTGTGATGCATGATGGTTGGATTCAGTCTGTAATGTTTCATTATAGTAAATCTTCTCCAAGTACTTGTAGATATATTATCCTTTTGATTACCCATCCTTGGGTTAGAGTTCACGCAGTGAAAGTTATGAAGGATGCCTGGAAATTGGGGTTATTGACTAGCTCATTGCTAAGGGATATTTTTATTGTACTTCGTTAATTAAGAAATTAATTCTTCCTCCAGCGAAACATCTCCCCTAGAATATTATCTGAATCCACTCTTGTGCATGTGTGCTGTTGTTTGTAGATGGCGGGAGTGGCGACAGTGGGTTCAGCAGCAGTCCTGGTGGTGGCAGTGGTGGGTTACGCCGCGCGTGCTCTCTCAGTGACCTCACCAACCCTGGTGCCCCACGACGCCTTCTGCCAACTCCCCCTTCGGGTATGCTTGCACCCGTGTATTGCTAATTGTTTGCAAACAGTGCTGTATTTGACATGAACACTTGCCACACTTTTTTTTTTGAACACCATTTCAATATTCTTAAAGTAATCATGCAAGTATTTTACTACATATCCATACATGTTTTTATAAATTAGCCATACAGTACTTAAATTTTTCATGTGGGATTTTCAGTCATTGTATACAGTATTTTGTGCAGGGATTCTTTACTTATTGCAAGGAAACACGTATTTTAGTTTTTAATTATGTGGTGACTTTTAATGCCAGGATTTAACTAGTGTGATAACCTTTAATTAATAATATAATTTTAGTGTTCTTAAGGATCACTACTTTGAAAGAAGTTTTCCTTCACTACAGACTGTACTAATTTGTTTTGCACTGATCTTAATACACTAAAACCTTTTTTAATAGATTATAATTTGTAATATAGTATCTGAGAGTTCCTTTATTTTATATACAGGTTTCTCTTGCTTTTTGCAATTTGATATAATGTATGCGATTATTGCAATTCACAAAAGTTTTTGATGATTCTTATTATTAAGAATTAAGTGTTGATGGCTTGATTGAGCTTAGTACAGCTACCATGGACATCTACTGCATAAATCAAGTGACATCTGTCTTTTTTATTTGTTTTTTCCTCATTTTTCCCTGTGTGCATTTGCTGAAACACTTTTATTGCATCTCAATATTTTTAATTCTTAATTTAATCATGTGATACAACTACTTGTTTAGTAGACTAGTCAAAGAATTATATTGTAAATATTTTAGGCATTATATTTGGTGGCTAATGCTTGAATATACAGATATTTTGAATTGAACACAAGTTGTATGTAATGGTAGTAATAAAGTTTATGATAACAAGTATAATTAATAATGTGAATAGATTGTCATTCAAAATTTCACTTTTGTTTGGTGAATGATGGCCCACACCTATCTTGAAATAACCATTGTATACTTGTCTGGGAGTATTAAATTTTTTGTATAAAATTTATAACTTTTAATGCATCATCTACTTATAATGCAATATTTAGAGTACAGCTGAACCCCAGAATTCACATGCTATGTAATTAGCGTGATGCAATTATGCAATCTTTTATTGAGGGCCGTTCAGTAAACAGCATTAATCATTCGTATTTTGTCTTGGTGCCCTTTTCTTTTTGCGTGGCTCAAGAACCTTTAAGTGAAAATGACCATGGAATTTCTCTTAAAAAGTACTCATTCTTTTTTGTCAATGTCATTTTTAAGCTGCTGTGTTTTTACTGCACTTGATGTAATGAAATAATTATTAATCATATATTCCAGCATTAATATATTTGTGTGTGTTTCAGTTTTCCTCATATGGTAGATTTGATGCTTTTTTATTTATATATTTTCTTCAGTTTTATAGTTAACAACATTCACACTATGTATTTAGTTGTAAATCTGTTGTAGTTTCTCTTATACATTGACTCTTGCTGAAGAATTACCATATCAAGACTTTTTAACATGTGGGATTAGAACTTTAAAACTTTAACTGAATATAATAATGAACTCTGAATGGCTTGACTAAATCTTTAGGTGGAGAAGAAAGCTGATGTGGTTGATCATGCTGATGAACTATTACCCTTCTTTATTAAATCTTTCATGCAATTTATCAGTTTCTACTATAGATGTCCAAAGAAATTGATGGACATAGTAGATGTGTGGTAAGGAATTTAAATACAGTACCAACATTACTGACTTCTGGGACAGTTTGATACAAATCAGTTATATAGTTTTAGTGCTTGCTTGCCTGTCACCTTTGTTATAGTTTCTTCTTAGTTTTAGCAATATAAAATGTGTTGTATTTAATCTTTTTTAGGTATAATAAGTAGAAAATAAAAATGTGTTTGTTCTGAATATCTTTCAGAGAGCATCACCTTTTTAATATTTTATAATTACTTCTCAGTAAATACTGTATTATAAAATTAAAGCATTGTATCATTTATAATGTATTTTATAAAATAATTAGTCAGTGCCTGTGATCTTTGTACATTGTATGTATAGTTAAATTTGTGTTAAAATTATTTAGTGTCCTTTGAAATGCTCTGTGATATTGATGTAGAAATATCATGGAAACTGTGTAAATGCTGCAGATATTGAGAATACAATTTAAAAAATATAATAATCACAGTTCTTATAGGAATACTTTGTATAGAGTCAAAGTAACTGAAGCTAATATTAAATTATTTGTCTTTTACTCTTTATGCAATGCATCTTGTATCATGGTTTTAACAGCAATAGCTAATTTTTTTTTTCACAGCTGGTGGAAAGAAAATGGGTGGAAAATCTAGTAATAAATCCCCTGGTCGCTCACACTCGTCTTTATCACGTTCCAGCTCTATTGGAGTTCTTAATCAAGTGAGTTTCTCTTTCATTCCTGATCATACATTCACTCTTCAATATAAATTTTAGTATTTCTTCATTGTTGTTGTAGCATTTATGCCTTTTTTTTTTCTTGTTTGTTTGTGTGTGTTAAAAGAACATGCACTCAAGAATAACAATCCCAAATTATTATCATAGTATTATTATTTTTTTTTTTTCAAAAACGTTGGCTGTTTCCTACTGAGGCAGGGTGATCCAAAAAGAAAGAAAAAATGCATCATTCAACTCTTTCATCATCCCTTGTACATAATTACTGTCTTTGCAGAGGTCCTCAGATACAACAGTTTAAATGTCCCTCCAAACTGCCAATATCCCAAACCCCTCCTTTTAAAGTGCAGACATTGTACTTCCCATTTCCAGGACTCAAGTCCGGCTAACCGGTTTCCCTGAATTCCTTCACTAAATATTATCCTGCTCACACTCTAACAGTTCGTCAGGTCTCAAAAACCATTCGTCTCCATTCATTCCTATCTAATATGATCACACACGCTTGCTGGAAGTCCAAGCCCCTCGCCCACAAAACCTCCTTTACCCCTCCCTCCAAGCTTTTCAAGGACAACCCCTACCCCGCCTTCCTTCCCCTAAAAATTTTTACGCTCTCCATGCCATTCTACTTTGATCCATTCTCTCTAAATGACCAAACCACCTCAACAACCCCTCTTCAGCCCTCTGACTAATACTTTTATGAACTCCACACCTCCTAATTTCCATACTCCGAATCTTCTGCATAATATTTACACCACATGTTGCCCTTAGACAAGACATCTCCACCACCTCCAACTGCCTCCTCACTGCAGCATTTACAACCCAAGCCTCATACCCATATAAGAGTGTTGGTAACACTATACTTTCATAGATTCCCTTCTTTGCCTCAATAGTTAACCCTTTGAGGGTTTTGGTCGTACTAGTATGTCTTACGCGTAGGGGTTTTTGATGTACTAGTACGCATAAATTCTAGCACTGTCAAATCTCGCAGGAAAAGGCTGATAGGCCTAGATGTGAGAGAATGGGTCTGTGTGGTGGGTGTGCGCAGTAGGAAAAAAATTAGGACCCAGTGGTGCATTGTGGGAATGCCATCATAGTACACAATGTCCTCCATGCCTGGCGGTAAGAAGTTCCTCACTCCTCGGCGAATTGGGACACTTTTGTTCCCTAGTGACAGTTCTAATACAGATGGAAGTGACAGTGAAGATGAGTTTCAAAAGTTTTGGTGAGGTTTCGACTGAAACTAATGGACCATAATATGGGTAAAAGTGAGGAAAACCCAGACAACCCACAGCCTTCCATATCTGGTGCTGGGCCGTCTTGTTCACGTTCAGTTGTACCAGAATCAAAGAGGAAACTCCTATTTTCCCAAATCCCAGACTCCGATGTGAGCATTGGTGATGATAGTGATAGTGATTATGAACTACAAGCTCTTCAAACTTTTTCCCAAAGAATGGAGGAGGAGGAGGAGGCAGAGGAGGAGGAGGCAGAGGAGGAGGAAGAAGAGGAGGAGGAGGAGTAGGAGGAGGAAGAAGAGTAGGAGGAGGAAGAAGAGGAGGAGGAGGAAGAAGAGGAGGAGGAAGAAAAAGGGAAGAATACGTAATAATAAAAATTTAATACATATTAATAATAATACATAATAATAATACATAATAATAATAATAATAATACATAATAATAATATGTAATAATAAATGTTCACCCATGACAGTAACAAGATAAGGGGAGATAACATCTGATAAGTGCTGAAGTTTGATGAGGGTAAATGAGGGTGTAGCTGATACCAAAATATTAGATGAACATCGCTCTCCCTTTGTTTTGCTGGTATACTAACATTTCTGTTTTATTTGTCGTCTGTCAAGCTCCCTGTCTATCTGTCTATTCATATACTCTCTGTCTCAGAGAGCCACAAGACTGCGTCATCACTTTTACTCACTCTTCAAGCAGAGTACAGCACTTTGTCTGGATTTCTTGGTTATCCTAGGAAAATTTATACTATGAAATACTTGCATTTATGTGTACCTGTGAGACAGAGATAGACGACAGATAGAAAAAGAGACAGATTAAAAGATATAAAATTGAGGGAGAAAGATAATTAGATAGAATGGGGGGGAGAGCATCCGACCCATTGTTTTGACAGGCGGGAGGGGGAGTGAGTAATGAGACAATATGTCATTTTGACAGTGCTGACTCCTGGTAATTTACACTATGGAGGAGGAGGAGAAGGAGAAGGAGGAAGAGGAAGGTAGGGGGAAGAGGAGGAAGAGGAAGAGTAGGAGGAAGAGGAAGAAGAGGAGGGAAGAGGAAGAGGAATAGTAGGAGGGAGATTAGGGGGAAAAGGAGGAAGAGGAAGAAGAGGAGGAGGAGGAAGAGGAAGAGGAGGAAGAGGAAGAGTAGGAGGAAGAAGAGGGAGGAGGAAGAGGAAGAGGAAATAGAGAGAGAAAGAAGTAGGGGAAGAGGAAAGAAGAGGGGGAGGAGCAAGAGGGAGGAGGAGGAAGAGGAGGAGAAAAGAAGAGGAAGAGGAGGGAGGAGGAAGAGTGGGGGGAAGAGGAAGAAGAGGAGGAGGAGCAAGAGGAGGAGGAGAAGAGGAGTAAGAAGAGGAGGAGGAGCAAGAGGAGGAGGAGGAAGAGGAGGAGTAAAAAGAGGAAGAGGAAGAGTAGGAGGAAGAGGAGGAGGAAGAGTGGGGGGGAAAGGAAGAAGAGGAGAAGGATGAGGAAGAGGAGGAGGAGGAAGAAGAAGAAGATGATGATGTAATAATATTTTTCCCTTGAACAAGAAAAAAAAAATCCACCCCATGACAGTGACAAGACAAGGGGAGATAACATCTGATAAGAGATGACTTTTGATGGCGTAAACGAGGGTGGAAACTGATAATAAAAGATTAGATGAACATCGCCCTCCCTTTGTTTCTGCTGGTACACTAACATTTCTGTCTGTCTATTTTTTCTGTCAAGCTCCTGTCTATCTGTCTATCTGTCTAGCTCTCTGTCTCAGAGAGCCACAAGACTGGTCCATCACTTTTACTCACATCTTCAAACGGAAAAGGGACGCACTTTGTCTGGATTTCTTGGGTTGTCCTAGGTAATTTATACTATGTTACTTGTATTTATGTGTACGTGTGAGACAGAGATAGACAGGGCAGAAAGAGAGAGACATTGAAAGAGATAGAAAGAGGGAGAAAGATAAAACACCCCTTGTGTATGACACCATGTTTCAAAGAGTTCCACAAGCTGCAGAACTAATAGGAATATGTTCAGTGACTGTATTTGGTATTTATTATAGAACAATTGTAATAAACAATGTTTTGTATTGTTTTTTTTTGGGAAACAAGTTTTGTAAACAATATATTTGATAATTATGTTTGTTGCTTATTGTGTTGTATACAACGAGTGTATATATGTACATTGCACCTTACTTGGTCTCATAGGCCCATAAGTTATGTGAAAAATAAATAGTGAGAAAAAAAACAAACCTTCAAATTTCAAGTAAATCAAAGTTTTTCGGTGAGCGGCAGTCGCCGCTGTTGCCATACGGGGCTCATTTTCTGCAAACTTTACGCCTCCATATCTCCGTAAGTATTGATGGTAAAATTTTTTTGTTTATCCTATAATGTTTAGAAAAAAAAACTATTTTTTTATAAGAAAAAATAATTTTTTTTTTTTTTTTTTTTTTTTTTTTTTTTTGAAATTTGGCCGACCCTGAGAACGAGTTTCGGAGAGGGCCTGTCGACCCTCAAAGGGTTAATGTTTTTTGTCTCCACATATACCTCAATGCACCACTCACCTTTTTTTTTTTATCAGTTCTATGATTAACCTTTATCCTTCAAAAAATCCATCCACTGACACAATAAACTCCCAAATATTTGAAAACATTCACTTCTTCCATACTCCTCTCCAATTTGATATCCAATTTTTCTTTATCTAAATCATTTGATACCCTCATCACCTTACTCTTTTCTATGTTCACTTTCAACTTTCTACCTTTACACACACCCCCAAACTCGTCCACTAACCTTTGCAACTTTTCTTTAGAATCTCTCATAAGCACAGTATCATCAGCAAAAAGTAACTGTGTCAATTCCCATTTTGTATTTGATTCCCCATAATTTGATCCCACCTCTCTCCCCAACACCCTAGCATTTACTTCTTTTACAGCCCCATCTGTAAATATATTAACCATGGTGACATTACACATCCCTGTCTAAGACCTACTTTTACCGGGAAGTAGTCTTCCTCTCTTCTACACACACTAACCTGAGCCTCACTATCCTCATAAAAACTTTACAGCATTTAGTAACTTACCACCTATTCCATATACTTACAACATCTGCCAGATTACTCCCCTATCCACTCAATCATATGTCTTTTCTGAACCCATAAATGCAATGAAAATTTCCCTACCTTTATCTAAATACTGTTCACATATATGCTTCAATGTAAACACTTGATCTACACATCCCCTACCCACTCTTAAACCTCCTTGCTTATCCATAATCCTACATTCTGTCTTGCCTCTAATTCTTTCAGTTATAACCCTACCATACACTTTTTCTGGTATACTCAGTAAACTTATTCCTTTATAATTTTTACAGTCTCTTTTGTCCCCCTTCCCTTTATGTAAAGGAATTATACATGCCAATCCTTAGGTACCTTCCCTCTTTCATACATTTATTAAACAAAAATACCAACCACTCCAACACTATATCCCCCCTTGCTTTTAACATTTCTGTCATAATCCCATCAGTTCCAGCTGCTTTACCCCATTTCATTCTACGTAATGCCTCATGCACCTTCCCGACACTCACATCCTGCTCTTCTTCACTCCTAAAAGATGGTATACCTCCCTGGCCAGTGCATGAAATTACTGCCTCCCTTTCTTCGTCGACATTTAAAAGTTCCTCAAAATATTCCCACCATCTAAGGAATGCCTCCATCTCCCCATCTACTAACTCCCCTACTCTGTTTTTAACTGACAAATCCATTTGTTCCCTA